TGTAATTTTTGATCTTTGCCTTTTCACTTACTCATCCAGCAGTTCTGAGACTCCCCCAGTACCATCTGCTGCAACACCAAGGTTCTGCCAGGCTGGAAAGAAGTTCATTCTCTTACTTCATTCAAGTTATCAAATAGTGTTGGCAGCTAGCCCTCAGCCCTGGGTCTGTAACCCTTGCAGACACAACAGGACAGATGGAGCAACTGCTGAGTAAGGGTGGCTTTGGCTGGGGTTTGTGGTTATTTGGATTTATCTATAGTTGAGGCCCTGATGATTTCATACATATTTACTCATTCACTATTTCATATGCATTTAACAATTACTGAGGGCAGGGTTAGGGGCAGGGGGATAGCGACGAACATGGGTAGAAACAGCCCTATGCCCAAAAGGCTTACTCTCTTTTTGGGAAAGGGGACGCTGAACAACGATAATACCATGAGTGTAGGTTAAGCAAGAGTAGGGCTGGACGCCGTGGCTTATGCCTGTAATCCTAGCACTTTGGGAGGCCGAGGCAGGTGTATGACTTGAGCTCAAGAGTTCAAGATCAGCCTGGGCAACATGGCAAAACCCTGTCTCTAACTAAAAATAAAAAATTAGCCAGGAGGAATGGTGGTGCATGCCTGTAGTCCCAGATGCTTGGGAGGCTGAGGTGGGAGGATCGCTTGAGCCTAGGAGGTCAGGGCTGCAGTGAGCTGAGATTGTGCTGCTGTACTCCAGCCTGGATGACAAGGTGAGATCCTATCTCAAAAAATCAAAACAAACAAACAAAGCCAGAAACAAACAAACAAGAGTAACTATGAGAATGAACTATGAGAATGGGGGAACTGGCCCAGGCCCAGGAGAGGGCAGGGCTCCCAGAAGAAGGGCCCTTTCAGCTGAAACTCGAGAATGAGTTGGTTGGTCAGGTGGCATGATGGGGCTGGGGTTTGGAGACAACTTTCCAGCTGGGAGAGAATGGCAACCACTGAAAACTAGAAGTGAGAGAACAAGGGGAAAGGGTTATAGGAGGAACTGAGAGATGTTCTGTATTTTTGGAGCATAGGGTTTTTACATGCTGGGAGAGAGTAAAGATTAGTCCAGGGTAGGCTGTGGGTGGGGAGAGGCTTGGGCCCACCACAAGGACCTTGTCGCTGCTGAAGCATGCTTTCCAGCAGACCTGACTGGATTTCACCCTACTGTCACTGGATTTTATTACCCTTTCTCCATTCTACACGGAGCACCCACTCCCCCTTGCTATGCCAGCACTGGACACTGGTGAAATTTCAGAGATACAAACACATGATACCTTGTTGTCCAAGAATGCATGGTACTTTTACTGAGCACTTTCTTCTAAGCACTTTATCACTTCAATTAATCCTTGCAGTCTCCCGGATTAGCAGATTTTGTTATCTGCCTTTCATAAATGAGGGTATTGAAACTCAGAGAGTGAGCTGAGCTGCCTGCCAATGCCACATGCCAGTAAGTGGAGGAGCCTGGTGGGCCAGCTCTAAAGGCCCCTGTCTTTTGCACCTCCCTAGTATAGGTGATTGATGTGTCAGCATCTAAGTTCATGCTGGAGTGACCAGCAATGAGAATGAAGAGTAAAGGCAGCCTGGCAGAAAGGGCAGGGGGACCACATCTGGCTTCATGGAGGAGGGAGACCTTGTTGGAGATGTAAGGTTTAGACAGATTGCGATCAGGCCACACTCCTGTGGCAGGATCCCTTTTAGTATCCTATCATCAGTGAGTTAAGCTTCAATATCTCTTGACGCTCTTGCTCCCACGCCTCTAAATTGTTTTCTGTTTTTGTTTGGTTTGGAAATCAGGCACACTGAATAGGGACTTGGTGTATATTGTTCACCCTTGCCCAGTACAATGCCTGTCCCTTAGCAGGTACTGAATGTCCATTTGTTGATAAACAAATGAATGAACTTCATTTTTAGTAGCCCACTACCTGGATCCTTACTTACCTGGTGAATGAGGGTGCCTGGGTGGTATCTACCACTCAGGTTGTCAATTCCTGCTCCTGTCTCCAAGCATGCTATCTCTGAGGGCTGGCCGAGCATGTAGCCAGCTAAGTTCTGGGGTCTGAGAGTTTCCCAACAACCTGGCAATACCTGTTGAAATAAAAAAATGCATGCACGGGCCAGGTGTGATGGCTCACCCCTGTAATCCCAGCACTTTGGGAGGCCAAGGCGGGCAGATCACCTGAGGTCAGGAGTTCGAGACCAGCCTGGACAACATGGTGAAACCCTGTTTCTACTAAAAATGCAAAAATTAGCCAGGCATGGTGGCTCACCCCTGTAATCCCAGCTACTTGGGAGGCTGAGGTGGGAGAATCGCTTGAACCTGGGAGGTGGAGGCTGCAGAGAGCCAAGATCTCACCACTGCACTCCAGCCTGGGTGACAGAGTGAGACCCCATCTCAAAAACAACAACAACAACAACAACAACAACAACAAACAAAAACGCATGCACATTCTGACTCAGCACATCTACTTATAGAAATGGGCCAGGCAGGGTGGCTTGCACGTGTAATCCCAGCACCTTGGGAGGCTGAGGTGGGAGGCTCACTTGAGTGTAGGAGTTTGAGGCTAGCTGGGGAGACATAGTAAGACCCTGAATCTACAAAAAAACAACAAAAAACCAAAAAACAAAACAAATCGGCTGGGCGTGGTGGCATGCACTTGTAGACCCATCTACCAGAGAGGCTGAGGTGGGAGGATCCCTTGAGCGTGAGAGGAGACGCTGAGGCTGCAGTGAGCTGTGATTGTGCCACTGCACTCCAGCCTGGGCAACAGAGAATGACCCTGTCTCAGAAAAAGAAAGAAAAAGAGAAAAAGAAAAGAAACAAGGAAGGAAAGAAAGAGACTGAGAGAGAGAAAGAAAGGAAAGAAAGAAAAGAAAGAAAGAAAAAGGAAGGAAGGAAGGAAGGAAGGAAGAGAAGAGAAGAGAAGAGAAGAGAAGAGAAGAGAAGAGAAGAGAAGAGAAGAGACAGGCAGGCTGCGGTGTGTTTGCATGTAGGCAACAATGCTGCTGTGTGCATCAGGGCAAGGCCTGTCAGCAAGGCTGGAAATCACCTCCATGTCCACCAAGAAAGAAGGGCAAAGAAAACAAAGACCCTTTCTATCAGGTTGCTGCAAAAATAATTGCGGTTTTTTCTTTCTTTTTTTTTTTGAGATGGAGTTTTGCTCTTGTTGCCCAGGCTGGAGTGCAATGGCGCCATATCGGCTCACGGCAACCTCCGCCTCCCGGGTTCAGGCGATTCTACTGCCTCAGACTCCTGAGTAGCTGGGATTACAGGCATGCGCCACCACGCCCGGTTAATTTTGTATTTTCAGTAGAGACGGGGTTTCTCCATGTTGATCAGGCTGGTCTCAAACTCCCGACCTCAGGTGATCCTCCCGCCTCGGCCTCCCAAAGTGCTGGGATTATAGGCATGAGCCACTGGGCCCAGCCTGCAATGTTTTTAATGGCAGAAAAACGCAATAACTTTTGCACCAACCTAATATACTATAGGGACGTTTATGTGCCCCTTAAAAAGAAATGAGGCAGTGTGGCATGTTCTGGCAGATGAGCGCCAAGGTACTTTGTCGTATGAAAAAGCAGAGTGCCCAACAGAATAGAAAAGGCCTTTTGTGTAAACGCACACACGCACAGGTACATACGTGCTCTAAGAAAAAATACAAGGAAAGCACAAGGTTAGTGCTTTCCTCAGGGGAAAGGGCACTTACTTTTAACTGTAGACCCTTTGAAATTATGAAAGATGGCAGTGGGAGTGAGCCCTTGTGAGTATAGCAACTGGGAACACGAGCGAGCAGTTACGTGTCTGGTAGTTGTGAACATTTCACACACACTATCTCATTAAATCTTCACACAACCTCATGAAGTAGCTATAATTATCTGCTTTTTACAGAAAACGAAGGCACAGAGAAGTTAAATAATTTACCAAAGATGATATAAGAAGTGCAGAGACCCGGGTCATAGCCCAGATAGTCTGACTCCAAACCAATGCTCTTAATAATACAGCACACACACAATTTTCCATTAGAAACAAGTTCCCGGCCAGGTGCGGTGCCTCACACCTGTAATCCCAACACTTCGGGGGCCCAGGCTAGAGGATCGTTTGAGGTCAGGAGTTTGATAGCAGCCTGAACAACACAGCGAGACCTCCGACTCTAAAAACAACGACAAAATCAACCAAACAAAAACCAAACCCAAGTCCCCAGTAAACTTCTGGTCTCAAATACTGCCTCATCCACGGGTCCCGTGACTCTGTGTGTGACGGGGGCTGGAACTCCGGAGTAAGCGGCTCCTTTACAGTGGGGAGACGGCGGGAACCCGTGCCCTAAGATGCCGTGCACGTGGTCGGCTGGGCGCGGAGACTCCTTCCGGCGTCCCGGGGGGCGCTAGGCTGATGAAACGCGGCCTCCAGCTCGGCTCCGCCGCGGGCCCGGGAGCCGCGTTCCCTCGTGGCCCCAAAGCGAGCCCGGCGGGCGGCTCCTCCGGGTTGGGCAACCGAGAAGGGCCGGCCGGGCGGGGGGCGGGCCCGGGAAGGCGGCGCGGCGCCGCGCGACGCGGGAGGCGGGCGGGGCGCGGGGCTGCGATGCCCAGAGGCTGCGGCGCCCACAGGCTACGGCACGAGGGGCGCAGCGCCCCCGACCTTCCGCGTCCCGGGGTGGAGGCGGCGGCGGCGGCGGCGGCGGCGGCGGCGGCGCGGGCGGTGAGTGTGCGCGGGCCCGGGCGCGCGCCCGTGTCCTGCGATCCGGGATTGGTGCCGCGGGGCTCCGGGTCTGGGAGGCCGCCTGGGCGCCTCCGCCTTGGCCTGCGTTCGGGCCAGACGGCCTGGGGTCGGCGCCCCGGGCAACCTGCGGGGGGGGCCTCCGTACGCCCTGGGGCCTCTGCCCCCGCGTGCCGGCCGTGGGAGCGGCTCTGAGAAGCCTCCTGGAAGCCTGCGGTTGGGGAGGGCCGGACTGATTTCTGGGGTGAAGGAGATCCCCCTCTCCTCAGCCGACCTGGACAGTTCCAGAGGGCGGAGACTGAGACTGGGGCGAGACAGCTGCCCAGGGCCAAGGCCGTGTATGGCGGGACAGCTCCGGCTGGCTTGAAGGAGCCTGGGTTTCCATTCTGGCTCAGTCTAGGACCAGCCCCTTGACCTTGGATGGTACACTTTATTTTCTGGGTCTTAATGTCCTTACCTGTAAAATGGAGAGCTCGGACTCATTGTGTCTCAAGGTTTTTTCGCCCCGAAACTTCTCTAACAGACCCTTTTAGGGTCTTGTGTTGGACTTTTCACAAACAAAACAAAACCTGACTTAGGAAACTGACGAATCTCAGTGCTAGTTCCCGGGGAGGCTGGGCCCTTGGTGTCTGCAGAGATGGAGGACTTTGCGCAATAGGACTTAAGAGTATGTTCCTTTGCAGATGCTCTCTACGAGCTGAAAAAGAGAGGAGCTGACCTTGTGCAAGATGGATATCTGGAAGTTCTGGTTAAAATGCAGAATCAGCAAAGGAGACTCAGAGAAGCTCTAGTTTCCTGCTTAATTGCAGGGGCCTCAAGGCTGTGCTCACTCCCTCTGCTCTGCCTCCACCCTGGTATCTGTCAGACCCTCTGTGTTGTCCTAGGGCTGGTGCAGGGCTGAGCTGGATGGGGAAATGGAGTTCAGGACATATGATAGGCATCTGCCTTCGGGGTCTTTCTAGCACCCCTCCTGCCCTCTGCAGCTTCCTGGTTGAATGAGGGGCTGCAAGGTGACCACACAGGCTGCCCTGATGGGCCCATCCTGGCCTCTGGTCCATATCCCTTTCTGCTTGGCACTGGCCTCTCTTGGCTCTCACCTCCACCTTTGCCAAGCCCAGGAGCCTCCTTCCTCCACCCCAAACGAGGTGCTCCCTCTCACTGCCTTGTTGCAATTGTTTGTTTTGTAATTGTCTTTCCCTGAGTTTGTCATTCCTACCATTTGGTGATCCCTAGCAGGGAGGGCTGAGTAGGAACTTCCGTTTTTATTTCCAGTTTCGTAGTCAAGAAAGCACAGGGCCTGGCCTGAGAAGGTGCTTAGGAAATGTCTGTGAAGTAAAAATGATGGCAGCTGTATTTCTTCAGTGATTCCTATTTGCCCAGTGCTATTTTGAGTGATTTACATGTGTGAACTCTTTAAACCTCACAATCACCTGAAGTTACTGTCGTTTTCCCCACTTACATGTAAAGAAACTGAGGCAGAGAGCAGTAACTTGCTCAAGGTTACACAGGTGGGAAGCGGCAGGACAGGGCTGGTTACTTTGAGCTATTACAGGAAACAGCCTCCAGGTGAATGGAATAAAGCCTGCCGATTGGTACTTTGTGAGAGGCTGATGGGGCCAACTAGGGTGCTGTGATTTCTTCCGAAAGACAATGCCTAATGGTGGGATTTTTGCCACGAATGGAACCTTCCACGCAGTCTGGAAGGATACTTGTGCAGCTCCAGCCTGAGCATGGTCCCTCGTGGCTCCCCGGTCCCCCAGGCCTTTTTGAGACTCTAGTCAGCTTTTCTGGGCTGTAGGCCCCTAGCTACGATGTCCCTGTGTGTCTTGTCTGGAACATGGATCTCAGAATTATATCTGCCTCAGGGGCCTAAGAGATTATCAAATGAAGCAGGGAAGGGCTTCAGTGATTATCAAGTGCAGGGCAGAGATCCTTGTGGCTATTTTTGTTGGTAACAGGAAGGAAGGAAGGCATGATAAGAGTGACAAACGCTTAGCATATTTAGGAGAGTCTTCTGCTGTGGGCCAGGTGAGGAGGAGAAGGCCCCAGTGTACATCTCAGGGCTGACTTGCATTTATTGCTTGATCTTGCCTGGGAAATGCAGTCTCCCTTGACTCACTCTTTTTTGTTTTGTTTTGTTTTATAAGGGTGATTTCATGAACATTCTCAGAGACAGTGCAGAGGGGCAAGGGCATGGAAATTATGGGCTTGGACCCTGGAGCCAGATGGCTTGGGTTTACCTCCTGGCTCCACGCTGGTAGCATGGCCTCCCAACCTTGGGCAAGTCACTTTACATCTTTGACCTGCAGTTTTTTCTCCTGTAAAATAGGAAAATCATGTTGAGGACAGGGGCCGGTCTGGTGAGCAGAGTACTGGAGATTATGCTTGCATTTCCTTCTGTTACATCCCCACAGCAGCTATATGAGGTGGACCTCTCTATCCCCATTTTACAGATGAGAACAGCAAGGTGCGGATTGTTAAGTACCTTGACAGCTAATGTCAAAGAGCATGTATATGGCAGAGTGGGAATTCAAGTCCAGGTTTTCTGGCTCTAAAGTCTTCAATGTTTTCATAGGTTGCTGCTTTGCAGCCTTAGAGCCTGGTGCAGGGCAGATACATGATAACTGTTAAAGGCTCATGTTTTACATATTCTTGGTTGGGAGTGGAGGCTCCTAAGTGATCTTCCAGAGCTGAAAATTGGGGCCAGCTTCAGGTGCATGCAACCTGTGCAGTCATACAGGGTCCCCCACTTACGAAGCCCCTCCCATTTGGTTTAATGCTGTGCTGTTGCCATCTTTAAATTTTTCATTATTATTTTTTTTTTTTTTTTGAGAGGGAGTCTCGCGCTGTCGCCCAGGCTGGAGTGCAGTGGCCGGATCGCAGCTCACTGCAAGCTCCGCCTCCTGGGTTTGTGCCATTCTCCTGCCTCAGCCTCCCTATAGCTGGGACTACAGGCGCCCGCCACCTCACCCGGCTATTTTTTTTGTATTTTTTAGTAGAGACGGGGTTTCACTGTATTAGCCAGGATGGTCTCGATCTCCTGACCTCGTGATCCGCCCGTCTCGGCCTCCCAAAGTGCTGGGATTACAGGCTTGAGCCACCGCGCCCGGCCAATTTTTCATTATTTTTAAAGAAGAGGCCCCACATTTTCATTTTCAATTGGGTCCCACACATTCTGTAGCTGCTGCTGTTTAAAGTATTGAGAGAAGTGAAAGATGGTGAGGGCATGAGAGCCCTGTTCCCTCTCTAGGGGGCCTGATCAGTGGCCATCAGCCCTTGGGCCAGCTTGGAATCATGAAGATGTGTGCTGACTGGACACTTCATATCTTCACAAACATCTAGAACCATGGCAGCAAAAGACGATTCTAGTAGACTTTTGTGTCTACTAGACACAAAATGTGGTTAGCAGGGCTGGTGTGTCATCCCAGGGGACTTAGGCCTGATTTTCCTTGGTGAGGAGTAATTTTCAGGCCTGCTGGGGGACACATAACAGAGGTAAATGTGTAGGTTGCCGCTGGAGGGAGTGGCACTGGAAACTCAGTTTCTCATCAAGGAAACACCCATGCCTTTTTTTTTTTTTTTTTTTTTTTTTGGTGGTTGTGTCTCTCTCTGTCGCCTAGGCTGGAGTGCAGTGATGTGATCTCGGCTCACTGCAACCTCTGCCTCCCGGGTTCAAGTGATTCTCCTACCTCAGCCTCCCAAGCAGCTGGGATTACAGGTGCCCACCACCATGCCCAGCCTAATTTTTGTATTTTTTGGTAGAGATGGGGTTTTTCCATGTTGGCCAGGCTGGTCTCAAACTCCTGACCTCAGGTGATTCACCCACCTTGGCCTCCCAAAGTGCTGGGATTACAGGCATGAGCCACTGTGCTCAGCCTACTTTTCTTACTCATTTATCTTTCCTACCATCTGATTTTTGTTTGTTTGTTTGTTTGTTTTTGTTTTTGATTGGAGACACGGTCTCTCTCTGTCACCGTGGCTGGTGTGGAGTGGTGCAATCTCGGCTCACTGCAACCTCTGCCTTCCGGATTCAAGCTGTTCTGCTGCCTCAGCCTCCTAACTGGGATTACAAGCATGCGCCACCACACCCAGCTGATTTTTGTGTTTTTGGTAGAGATGGGGTTTCACCATGTTGGCCAGGCTGGTCTCAAACTCCTGACCTCAGGTGGTCCACCCACTTTGGCCTCCCACAGTGCTGCGATTACAGGTGTCAGCCACCGTGCCTGAATTTTTTTTTTTTTTTTTAATTTGTATTTTGCAGTGTCTTACAGGAAGCTACTTGAAATCCTGTGTGTGAACAAGACTCCCTGTAATGAATATACCTATCCTGTGCCTGGTTGCCTGGGGCATCCTCCATAAGGGAACAGAAATCCCAGCTGCCTGGCAGTGGGGCCTGGTCAGCTTTTGAGTACCCTGTGGACCCTTGGCTGTGCCTGAGCTGGAGGAGACCCAAGACCAGAAGGGAAGTTCTCAGTTTGGGCCTTGGAGGGTTTTAGTTTCTCTTCCTCCTCCTTCTTCTCCTGGGAATTTTTCTCAGCATTTTCAGAAAGGCCAAAGTTGGCAAAAAGACTCTGGGTGGCTCTCCCTGGCCTTTGGTGACTTTGGCCCTGGAGAGAGCCCCTAGGAAGCCCATCTTGCCCAGTCCCAGGCCTGAAGTTCTTTTTTGTGCTGTGTTTTGAAGGCATATGATGCTGAGCTGGCTGCTCCAGAATGAACCACAGCTCTGAGAAGGGGAAGTAGAAACAGCTGGCACCCTGCCATGGCCTGTGAACCACAGGTGGACCCGGGGGCTGCTGGCCCATTGCCCCCCTCCTCCCCTGGCTGGAGTGCCCTGCCTGGAGGGAGCCCTCCTGGCTGGGGGCAAGGTAAGATCACAACCTTTCATTTTCTACCCCCTTTCTACCTCATGCTGAGCTGCACTCACAGGGCACAGAAGTTCCTTTAGATAAGGTCAGGGGGAGGTGTCTTTGAGGCCACATTCTGTCATTTTTTTTTTTTTTTTTGAGACGGAGTCTCGCTTTGTCACCCAGGCTAGAGTGCAGTGGCCGGATCTCAGCTCACTGCAAGCTCCGCCTCCCAGGTTCACGCCATTCTCCTGCCTCAGCCTCCCACGTAGCTGGGACTACAGGCGCCCGCCACCTCGCCCGGCTAGTTTTTTGTATTTTTAGTAGAGACAGCATTTCACCATGTTAGCCAGGATGGTCTCGATCTCCTGACCTTGTGATCCGCCCGTCTCGGCCTCCCAAAGTGCTGGGATTACAGGCTTGAGCCACCGCGCCCGGCCCACATTCTGTCATTTTTACCAGTTCTGTCTCTTGGCCTTAGACCAAGCCACCATCCCTCTCTGCTGAGCCCCTGCTAAAGCTTGCCTGTTGGTCTTCTCTTTTCCATTCATTTTCTACATGGCAGCCAGAGAGCTCTTTATTATTTATTTATATTTCTAATTTATTTTTACTTGTTTAGAGACAGGGTGCTCTGTCATGCTGGCTGGAGTGCAGTGGCGTGATCATAGCTCACTGGAGCCTCAAACTCCTGGACTCAAGCAATGCTTCCACCTCAGGCCCCTGAACAGCTGGGATTACAGGCGTGCACTACCACATTCTGCTAATTAAAAATGTTTTTTGTAGAAATGGGGCCTTACTTTGTTGTCCAAGCTGTTCTCAGACTCCTGGCCTCAAGCAGTCCTTTGGTTTTGGCCTCCCAAAATGCTGGGGTTATGGATATGAGGCCCAGAGGTTTTAATTTTTTTTTTTTTTAATTATTTTTTGAGATGGAATCTCAGTCAGGAATTTCAAACCTATTGCCCAGGTTGAAATGCAGTGGCATGATCTCGACTCACTGCAATCTCCACCTCCCAAGTTCAAGCAATTCTCCTGCCTCAGCTTCCTGAGTAGCTGGGATTACAGGCACCCACCACCATGCCCAGCTAATTTTTGTATTTTTAGTACAGATGAGATTTCACCATGTTGGTCAGGTTGGTCTCGAATTTCTGACCTCAGGTGATCTGCCCACCTCGGGCTCCCGAAGTGCTGGGATTACAGGCATGAGCCACCACACCTGGCCCCAGATATCTTTTTAAAATATGCATTTAGTCCAACCATGTCACTTTCTGCTCAGTGTTTCCCATGGGGCTTAGTGTGAAGACCTGTCAGTATCGGCTTGCAAGGCCTGTCTTCATGTTCTTTGCTGTGCTGTTCTGCCTCAGGACATTTGCACCTGTGTTTCCTTCCGCCTGCTGTGCTTTTCCCCTGCCTCCTTTCTCCTGATGAATTCATCCAGCAGACATGGCGGCTCACACCTGTAATTCCAGCACTTTGGGAGACCAAGGCAGGCAGATCACTTTGAGGTCAGGAGTTCAAGGCCAGCCTGGCCAACATAGTAAAACCCTTTCTCTACTAAAAGTACAAAAATCAGCTGGATGTGGTGGCGGGCACCTGTAGTACCAGCTACTAGGGAGGCTGAGGCAGGATAATCACTTGAACCGGAGAGGCGGAGGCAGTGAACCAAGATCGCACCACTGGACTCCAGTTTGGGTGACAGAGTGAGACTCCATCTCAAAAAAAATTAAAAAAAAGGAATTTCCATTCATCCTTCAGAACTTAGTTCAAATATCCCTTCCTTGAAGAATCTTCCTGGTGGTTCAGCCGAAGTCAGGACCCTCTGATATATTCCTGTTTCTCCCTCTAGCATTTATCGTAGTCTGTAAATAATTATGTATAAAGTGTTGAAGTCTGGCTTCTTCACTAGAGTGTAAGCTCCCTGAAGGAAGTGGTTTCTGTCTTTTTCATCCCTGTATCTACTGTACCTAGCACAGACCTTGGCCCATAGTAGATGCTCAATTTAAATATTTTGTTGAATGAAAGAATTAATGAGTAGCTGGATATGGGCAAGGGGAAACAGCATCCAGAATTGTGGGGGTCCACAGGAATGTGGAGGGTTTTTTAGAGGCTTTGAAATTTGACTGCTTAAAAACAAAGGCTTCTTTTATTACTACTGTTGTTAGGAAAGCACTGTGTGTGTATATACGTAAGGAAGGCAGTGTGTACACAATAGTAGAACAAGATGGAATGAAATAATTTTTCTATCAGAACTTTGAAGACATTGCTTCACTGATTTTTGGCATGTCAGTTCTTGTTCCTTTGTAGGAAACTGCTGCCCCCTCTGTGCTTGCATGCACACACACACGCACACACGCACACACAGACACACACATTTTTCTTTGGTAGCTTTTCTTAGCTTAGGTGTAAAAACAAGTATTTTTAAGTGGAGGACTTGCTGTTCTCACTGTAAGGAACAGATGAGAGCTGGTATTGCAAAGAATCCAGGAACTCTTGGTTCGAAAGGCAAACAAAGACATCCTGAAAGATCTTTGCATTGCTTGGGCAAACACATAATTCAGTGTGCAACGAACTAGACCTGGGAATGGTTCTGAGTCTCCATGCGTGGAGTCCAAATCAAAGTGGAGTTTTCATTCTTCCTGTGGAGTGGAGAGCTGGTCTGAGACTGGATCTGCTTGGCTGCCTGCATTTTGTGCACTACCTTCCCTTGTCGCTTCTTGTTCTCACTTTCATTTTCCCTGTTTACAAGGGAGTTTCTTCACTTTTCAGAGGCTCAGTTTTCTTTTCCATGCTGATGGCACTGAGCTTTGGGGGCCCTTGGAGGATGAAATGAAATAATGAATGAAGCCCAAGCATAGTGCCTGGTGCTTAGGAAAGGGCTGCATACCCAGAACCTGTTCTTATTGTCTGCCTTTGGTTTTGTTTTGTCTGGTTCTCCTCCTTTGCTTATTTTAAAATTTATTTTCAGGCTGGGCATGGTGGCTCATGCCTGTAATCCCAGCACTTTGGGAGGCCTAGGCGGGTGGATCGGATCACCTGAGGTTAGGAGTTCGAGACCATTCTGGCCAACATGGGGAAACCCCGTCTCTACTAAAAATACAACAATTAGCCAGGTGTGGTGGTATACACCTGTAATCCCAGCTACCCAGGAGGCTGAGGCAGGAGAATTACTTGAACCTGGGAGGCGGAGGTTGCAGTGAGCCGAGATCACACCATTGCACTCCAGCCTTGGTGATAAGAGCAAAACTCCATCTCAAAAAAAAAATTTTTTATATTTTTAGTTACTGATTTTTTTTTTGAGACAGGATCTCACTCTGTTGCCCAGGCTGGAATACAGTGGCGTGATTTTGGCTCACTGCAGCCTTGACCTCCCAGGCTCAGGGGATCTTCCCACCCCAGTCTCCCGAGTAGCAGGGACTACAGGCACGTGCCAGTACATCTGGCTAATTTTTTGTATTTTTTTGTAGAGATAGGGTTTTTCACCATGTTGCCCAGGTTGATCTCAAACTCCTGGTCTCAAGTGATCCACTTGCCTCAGCCTCCCAAAGTACTGGGACTACAGGCGTGAGCCACCGTGCCTGGTCAGTTTTATCTTTTCATATTTTATTTTTATGAAGCCACCTTAAATCCTTTCTGGAACAAGGTATGGGAGGGTAAAAACACAAATAAATTAATGTTGCTTGATTTTAACTTTGAGTTGTGGCAAGCTTGCTTTTAAAAACACAAATAAATAAATGTTGCTTGATTATAACTTGAATTGTGACAAGCTTGCTTTTAAATTATGAAAATAGCAGCCAGTTATTTTGTACCCATCTTGTGCTGAGCACTTTATTTTTATCACCTTAATTATTTGTAAAGTCCTCTGCAGTGAATGTGTGTGCATCCTTTACGCGAGGAAACAGGTGTAAGTTGCTTCTTCAACTTTACCATGTTAGTGAGAGACCGAGCTCCAGTTTGAACTGGAAAGCTATCTAGCTGTGTTTTCACCACCTCACCACCTCACCACCTCGCCTCCTTGTTCCCACCACTTCCAAAAAAAAAAAAAAAAAAATGAGAGAGAGAGAAAAAGTAAAATAAATGTCTTTTTGGCAGGATGTAGAATTTAGAATTCTATGGAACCCTTGAGATCAGAGATGATATCCCAGGGTATGAAAAAAGAACCTTTTCCTCTCTGGGTGCAGTGGCTCAGACCTGTAATCCCAGCACTTTGGGAAGCTGAGATGGGAAGATTGCTTGAACCCAGGAATTTAAGACCAGGCTGGGCAACATAGTGACCTCGTCTCTACAGAATAAAAAATTTTTAAAAAATTAGCTACGTGTGGTGGTGCATGCCTATGAGCCCACTTACTTGGGAGGCTGAGGTGGGAGGATTGCTTGAGCCTTGGGAGGTGGAGGTTAAAAAAATTAGCTAAGTGTGGTGGTGCATGCCTATGATCCCAGTTACTTGGGAGGCTGAGGTGGGAGGATTGCTTGAGCCTTGGGAGGTGGAGGTTGCAGTGAGCTGTGTTAGTGTCACTGGACTCCAGCCTGGGTGACAAGAATGAGATACTGTCTCAAAAAAAAAAAAACCTTTTCCTAGCTTGTTAATTTGTTTATACGCCAAACATGTATTTAATGTGCCTCCTGTTTGTATCAGATCAGGGGATTCAATGATGAACAAACCAATGCGAGAGTGTATAGTCTGGCAGAGAAGATAGATTTTATTCAAGTAATTTCATGCCTATGTAATCAAATAATTGCATACATAGGTATTTAGCTTTGGTGAGTATTAAGGAGAAGAGCATCAGTTATGGTAGGTTTAGCAGAGGATTTAATCAGTTAGTAGTTTAGAGTGTCAAGGAGGTCGCTCTGGGGAAAGTGAATCAAGCTGGGTTACAAATGATGCATGGGCTGTAACTGGGTGAAGCTAGGTAGACGTATTCTAGAGAGAAGAACAGCATATGCAAAGGTCCTGGGGTGGGGGAGAACACTGTGTTCAGGGAGTGAAGGAGTCTGGTGTGGTGAGACACAGAACAAGGCTGAGGGGCTCAAGCTGAGTCTGGCGGGAGGCTGGTTTTCCTAAGGGCTGGAAGAACATGGTAACAAGGTTGGCTTTTGCAAAGCACCAGGAAGCTATTGAAAGTTTTACTTAAGGCATTGGTCTCATCTGATCTGCACCCTGGCCACTGTGTGGAAGATGCATCATAGAAGTAAAGGTAGGTTTGCAGCAGAAGCCACTTAGTAGGCTACTGCAGAGGGCCAAGGGAGAGGTAAGGATGCCAGGAGGGCACGGAGTGGACAGATGTTTTGTTTGCCCGGTTGGCAGGACTTGGTGATGCACTGGGGGAGCGGAGAGAGAGAGGGTTGGGATGGGCCAGGAATTTCCAGGAAAGTACAGTGAGTCATTTGGCTTTGAAGATTCAAGTACTGTTCAGAGCTAGACTGGGGTGACAGGTGGTTTGGGCCAGCAGACAACACACTTATGCTTTAATCCCTTCTGTCCTGCCTCATTGTCTAAGCGGCAGCCACAGAGAATATGCCAAAATATCCAGTCCTCAGCAGTGCGTGGCTGAAACCCGGGACCTAGAATCCCAGGGCTGGAATCTTTCCCAACCCCCAGACCTCCTGGCTGCTGACCAGTGGCTCACAGGGCCTTGTACTGTGGTGCAAGGAGATCTCGATTCTTTTGTCCAGTTTCTCTACTTGGAACTGCAGGCGGGTAGGTTTGGCTTTGTGCTGCTGCCATTCCTCCCTGGCCTTGAGGGGTTTTCAGTCCAGACCTTTCTCTCCAGCTGGTCTCATGGTCTGGCTTCATCCCACCCTTGGAGGGCGAGGGCTTTGTAAGCAGTTGGGAGCAGCCTGGTTTGATGCATGTTTTTTGAGGGAATAAACACATATTTTATGCTTTTGACATGCTGAGTGTGTTACAGCCATATGTAGGAGGGATTACCAGTAAGTCAGTGTATTAGTTTTCTATTGCTGCTATAACAAGTTACCTCTAGCATACTGGCTTAAAACCACAGATTTGGGCCAGGTGCAGTGGCTCATGCCTGTAATCCCAGCACTTTGGGAAGCCGAGGCGGGCCGATAACATGAAGCCAGGAGTTTGAGACTAGCCTGGCCAACATGGCGAAACTATGTCTCTACTGAAATACAAAAATTAGCCAGGCACAGTGGTGCATGCCTGTACTCCCAGCTACTTGAGAGGCTGAGGCACAAGAATCACTTGAACCTGGGAGGTGGAGATTGTAGTAAGCTGAGATCATGTCACTGCACTCCAGCCTGAGTGACACAGAGAGACTCTGTCTCAAAAAAAAAAAAAAAACAAAACCACACAATGATAACAACAACAAAAAAACCAACCACAGATTATTTATTTATTTATTTATTTATTTATTTATTTAGAGATGGAGTTTCATTCTTGTTGCCCAGGCTGGAGTGCAATGGTGTGATCTCAGCTCACTGCAACCTCCACCTCCCAGGTTCAAGCAATTCTCCTGCCTCAGCTTCCCCAATAGCTGGGATTACAGACACCCACCACCACGCTTGGCTAATTTTTGTGTTTTTTGTAGAGACGGGTTTCACCATATTGGCCAGGCTGGTCTCGAACTCCTGACCTCAGGTGATCCATCTATCTCGGCCTCCTAAAGTGCTGAGATTATAGGCATGAGCCATTGTGCCCAGCTGGATTTGTTATTTCATAGTTCTGTAAGTTAGAAGTCTGACACTGCTCTCACTGAGCCGAAATCCCCATGTTGGCAGGACTGTTTTTCTTTCTGGACGCTCTGGGGAGAATCCATTTCCTTTCTTTGTCCAGCCCCTTGGGGCCGCCCACATTCCCTGGCTCATGGCCCTCTCCCTCCATGGTCAAAGCGATTGATGCCACATGCCTCCTTGCCTTTCATCCATAGTCACATCTCCCTCTGACTCTACTTCTGTCCCCCCTTCCACATTTAAGGTTCCTTGTGATTTCATGGGGCCCACCCAGATGATTCAGGATAGTCTCCCTATTAAAGGCCAGCTAATGAGCCCCCTTACTTCCGCCCTTTGCCATGAAAGGCAGTATATTTGCAGGCTCTGGGGATTAGGGTGTGGATGTCTTTGGGGCCATTGTTCTGCCTACTGTGATCAGTTATTTCTTACTTAGACTCTCTGAGCCTACTGGGAATTTAACTTATTCAGCTGAGCATCCTTTGCAGTGCTGAAATCAAGGTCCACTGCATCACCCCCCTTAATGTAGTTTTTCATTCTCTGTTTAAATGTTCCTTGTGTTGGGGAACATTTTTTTGTGGGGACAAAAAATACCTGTTCTTTGTGGGGACAGCTTTTGCTCTTGGGAAGTTCTTCCTTATGTGGTCTCACATTGTGGTCCTAGTAGCCTCCTCCCTCTGGCCTTAATTCTGCCTCCTGGGGCTTCCCAGTCAAATCCAGTCCTTCTCTCAAGAGGATTTGAGGATGGCCACAGTGTCCCTCCTTGTTACGAGGAAGTTCTCATGGCCAGAGATGTGATGCCATCAGGCTTTGGACTCACCCCACAAGCATGGTATGGTTATCACTCAGCCAGATGAAGCTTCTGGTCTGCTTCCAGAGCTCCACAATGGCCAGGTCCTCACTGTTCTCCGGATTGACAATACCTGTGCACCCATCTCCTTCGACCTGGGAGCCGCAGAAGAGCAACTGCAAACCTGGGGCATTCAGGTGAGTGCTGATTTCCTTGAATCCCTACCATTTTCTCTTTCATCCATTCATCCCTGTATCTTTTCATCCAGTTATTCACAAAATCTTTATGAAACACTCTGTGCCAGCTGTCATAGGGCATATAAGGAAGGCGTGCTAGAACTGCTCTCTCTTTCCTCTCTTCCCAATTAATTCACTTAACAAATGTGTATTTTTTGGGTGCCCACTCTGTGCCAGGCACTTAACTGGCTAAACATAATAGAGGTGGACAGGACACAGATCCCAGCGGGGGAGATGGACGTGTGTGGGAGAAATTGGGACCGTATCATATAAATGCCACAGGAGAGGAATGCATAGGCAGTGAAGACATTCACAGGAGAAAATGAGAAACTTGCCTGGGGGAAGAGGGCAGTGGTTGTGAAAGCTTTGCAGAGGAGCAGATGCTTGATCTGGGATCTTGAATAAATAGGAATATGCTGGGTGGAGAGGAGGAAGGGCATTTTGGGAGAGGGAACTGCATATACCAAGGAAAGTGCATATGAATTCATTAGATAATGATGCAGTGCCTTCAAGCATAGTGATTTGAGGCCAGGCTTACAGACCTGTGGAACTGGATACAGATTTAGCTCAGATGCTCACTACCTATGTGACTTTGGGAAGGTGACTTAACCTCTTTGAGCCTCAGTTTTATCATCTATAAATGTGGATAATATTGATACCTATTACAAAGGGTTTTTGTTAGGATTAAATGCAATAATGCTTGAGGAACCCTGGCATTGTCTCTAGTATATAGTAAATGCTCAATACATTGTAGCTATTATTGTTATGAAGTACCTATATGTGTGGGTTTTACTCTTTTCCCAAAGCCCCTAACATGGTCAGGCCTTTCCTGTGCTAGCCAAGGAGGATTAAGGATTAATTACAAATAGGGAAGATATACTGCTAATTTTAGCCTGAAGGTTTTAGAATTTACTTCTCTCTCTCTCTCTCTCTTTTTTTTTTTTTGAGACAGAGTGTTTCTCTGTTGCCCAGGTTGGAGTGCAGTGGCACAATATGGGCTCACTGTAACCTCTGCTTCCTGGGTTCAAGTGATTCTCATGCCTCAGCCTCCCAAGTAGCTGGAACTACAAGCATGTACCACGGCTGGCTAATTTTTGTATTTTTTAGTAGAGACGGGGTTTCACCATGTTGGCCAGGGCTGGTCTCGAACTCCTGACCTCAAGTGATCCGCCCGCATCAGCCTCCCAAAGTGCTGGGATTACAGGTATGAGCCACTGCGCCTGGCAGATTGGGTTTTCTTATGCGTGAACAGTTTACATATTGTTCTACCGTATTCCTAAGTATAATTTTTTTTTCTATTTTACTTACTTAATTAATTAATTTAGTTTTTGAGACAGAGTCTTGCTCTGTGGCCCAGGCTGGAGTGCAGCAGTGTGATCTCGGCTCACTGCAACCTCTGCCTCCCGGCTTCAAGCAGTTCTCTTGCCTCAGCTTCCCGAGTAGCTGGGATTACAGGCATGTGCTACCATGCCCAGATAATTTTGGTATTTTTAGTAGAGACAGGGTTTCACCATGTTGGCCAGGCTGGTCTCGAACTCCTGACCTCGTGACCCACCTGCTTCGGCCTCCCAGAGTGCTGGGATTACAGGCGAGAGCCACTGCATCTGGCCTTCTTTTTTATTTTTATAAAAAGAGACAGGCTGTTGCTATGTTGCCCAGGCTGGTCTTGAACTCCTAGGCTCAAGCAGTCCGCCCGCCTTGCTCTCCCAAAGTGTTGGGATTACAGGCATGAGACACTGCGCCCGGCCTAAATATAATTTTAATGGTTAAGTTGTGTTTTCTTAGGTCTACTATCACAGGGCCTTTATATTCTATAGACACCTTTGTTTGGGCAGGAAGATGTGAGTGTTCAGTCTTTTGGATGGCATTAATAGATATTGATATTGCAGTATTGATAATGGCAACTCTATAATGAGTGTTCACTGAGGGACTGGCCCTTTGCTTAGCACAGTATGTGTATTACCTCATTTAATATGTACCTTAGTTCTACAAAGTGGGTACTTTTATTATGCTTATTTTACAGAGGAGAAAACTGAGGCTCAGAGGAGTGGGGTTACTTGCTCCAGGCCACACAGCACATGAGTGGCAGGGCCAGAGTTTGGGCCCAGGGCTGTCTGATTCCGGGGCCTGTGCCTTAACCATCAGGCTACCCTGTGTCTGCTGCAAGGTACTGAGTCTGAGGCTGTATGGATCCTTCTCCAGATGTCGTGATGCCGGTTCTTCCCTGAGCTGAGAGCTGCACCATGTGACTTCCAGCGCTCCAAGCTCCTCATTCTGCCTCTGGGACAGCCCAGAATGTGCCTAATCCCCCTTCCACATGATAGTCACATGAACTGGAAACTGGCTGTCCTGTGGCTAATTGATCTCTTTCCCTGGGTTCTAAGCAGGTCCCGGCCGACCAGTACAGGAGCCTGGCTGAGAGTGCTCTCTTGGAGCCCCAAGTGAGAAGATACATTATCTACAACTCGAGGCCTATGCGGCTGGCCTTTGCTGTGGTAAGAGGGAGGTGGTCCGCACACTGACCCTGCCCTGACAGCTTGTGGCACCACCAAATTCAGCACCGTGTCTTGGAGCCTGCTGGTGTGGGTCAGAGGCTTGGGGGCTGTTGGCCCAGGTGCCTGGAAACGAGCAGCACGTATGGACATTGATTTGGGATCAGAGGAAATTTATGGGAGAGAGTTGTAACCAGGTCCTTGCATAAAGGATGGGAGTCAGGGTTTACTGTGGGCAGAGCTTGGGATTGGAAGTCTGCAGATCCACCCAGGCTCTGGACTCAATGTCTGGCTTTGGCCAAGATTTTCCTCCTCTCCGGAACTTGGTTTCCCCATCTGCTCAACAGATGGGTTATTTCAGCTCTATGTATGTGTGTATACACATCTGTATATATAATATAAAAAGTATACATCTTCATATTGATGCATATAAACACTGACATACATAAATGACAGAGCCAGAATTTAAATCCAGGTAGTCTGGTTTCAGTGTCTGTGCTCAGAAGCACTATGATTTGCTGCTTGTATAAATGGTCAGATAGCACACCTGACTCCCAGGTCCCACTTCCAGGGAGAAGGGAAAAGGGTGGGAACCAGCATTGATTCATTACCTGCTGAGTGCGGGGCTGTTACTTATGTGACCTTTTTAACCCTTATTACAATGCTGTGAAATAGGTGTTTTTATCCCCATTTTACCGATGAGGAAACTGAGACTTAGAGGAGTTATACATTGTCCAAAGCCATGTAGTACTTGAAAGATCATTGTGGTCTTTGAACTGATATTTGTCTCACTTTGGATACACCTGCGTTTTTCTGTTTTCTTTAAAATTAAGGTAAACAAGGATTAGGGGTAGCTACTAACCCTTTTTGTCTATTTTTTGCTTATGAACAAGGAACATGAGCTCATTCTCACAGACCTAGATGTCTGTATCACTCTCTTACTGGTGCTGTGAGCTGTCTGAATCCAAGGAGGGTGTCAGTAGTGTCTGAAGGGTGTCCGTTTGAATGGAGCTGCTTTATGTGAGGACTGAAGTTCCTGACCGTGATCTCTGTCTGGCATCTTGCAGGTTTTCTACATGGTGGTGTGGGCTAATATCTACTCTACCAGTCAGATGTTTGCCTTAGGGAACCACTGGGCTGGCATGCTGCTCGTGACCCTCGCCGCGGTGAGCCTGACCCTGACTCTTGTGCTGGTCTTTGAGAGACAGCAGAAGAAGGTGAGATGGCTGGAGATCCCTGCCACGCTCCCTCCAGAAGGGCGGTGCAGGCGTGAGAATCCGATTTTTCTCTTTTGCCTCCCTCAAAGAATTTCCCTGGCCATGAAAATTCACACTAGCCCATAAGCCCAGTGACTAAAATAAATCAAATCGTATATGTGATTGTCCTCTCTGCTTTTTCTGTCTAATCCCTGTGGATTGTTTTTCTGGAAGCAAGCTGTGCTTTGAGAATGTGGGAGGAGGGCACTAATAGCCCATATCCTGACAGTACTTTAGTTAACTGAGCCCTTTCATGCACTTCCTCCCGCTGGGTGCTCACAACAGCCCTGTGAACAAGGGAGGGTTACTGAAACCACCCTGCAGCACCAGGTGCCTGAAGTTGACCTCTGGGGAGAGGTAATTTACATTATTCCCTCCTGTGACGGGCAGATGCCGACCTGGTGCTCTATCGACAGTCATGTCTCTAATCCCAGCAATGACCTTTGAGGCAAAGTGGGTGGTCTGAGAGTTAGGTAACTTGTCCTGGATCCCACTGTTAGTGACAGAGCCAGGGTTCAAACCCTGAGCCCTCTGGTTCCTGATCATGTTTAGAAAGGAGGTGGATACCTCCTAGCTTGATGAATGATTTTAATTGTATTCTGTCTCTTCAGTGTCTGTCTTTTGATATGTACTGAGCACATCACATGTAGTAGGTCCTCTGTTAAATGCTTAACACATTAACTCATTAAATCCCTTGACATTAAATCTGGGTAGATGCTGTTACGCTTGTTTTGCAGTTGAGGAACCCTAGATTAAGGCTCAAAGAGTAGTCCCGGCCATGCTTCTAATAAATGCCAGAGTTGGAAATCAAGGCTAGGGCCTCAGATTCCAAGCCATGTTCTCAGTCACTACACTAGAGAAAACTGTTGGTTTTCTTTCTTTCTTTCTTTCCTTTCCTTTCCTTTCTTTTCTTTTCTTTTCTTTTTTCTTTTCTTTTCTTTTCTTTCTCTCTTTCTCTTTCTTTCTTTCTTTCTTTCTTTCTTTCTTTCTTTCTTTCTTTCTTTCTTTCTTTCTTTCTTTCCTTTCTTTTTTTCCTTTCTTTCTCTTTCTCTCCTTCTTTCTTTCCTTTCTTTCCTTTCTTCCTTTCCTTTCTTTCTTTCCTTTCTTTTTCTCTTTGTTTCAACAGAGTTTTGCTCTTGTTGCCCAGGCTGGAGTGCAGTGGCGCAATATTGGCTCACCGCAACCTCTGCCTCCTGGGTTCAAGTGATTCTCCTGCCTCAGCCTCCCGAGTAGCTGGGATTACAGGCGCCTGCCACCACACCTGGCTAATTTTGTGTTTTTAGTAGAGATGGGGTTTCTCCATGTTGGTCAGGCTGGTCTCCAGCTCCCAACCTCAGGTGATCTGCCTTCCTCGGCCTCCCAAAGTGTTGGGATTACAGGCGTGAGCCACCGCACCCGGCCCAAAACTGTTGGTTTTCTATAGCTGCTGTAACAAATTATCATGAACTTAGTGAATTAAAACAACAACAATTTATTATCTTCCAGTTCTGTAGGTTAGATATTTGACATAGGTCTCACTGGGCTAAAATCTAGGTACAGGCAGGGCTGCTTCCTTCTGAAGGCTCTGGGGGAGAATCTGTTTTCTTGCTTGTTTAGCTTCTAGTGGTCCTCTGCATTCGTTGGCTGGTGATCCCTTTCTTCATCTTCAAAGCCAGCAATGGCAGATCTAGTCTTTTTCGCATCTCCTTCTCTGGCTTTTTTGCCTCCCTCTTCTACTTTTAAGGACCCTTGTGATTGCACTGGGCCAGCTGGGTAATCTCAGATAATCTCCTAATTTTAAGGTCATCTGATTAACAACATAAAGTTCATCAGCGGCTTTAACTCCCCTTTGCCGTGTAGCAACATTCACACCGGTTCTGGGGAATAGGATTTAGACATCTTTGGGGACCATTTCTCTGCTACTGCACCTATGTTGTCTTTCTACCTACTTGGGAAGTTCCTGTTCCTCCAAACCCTGATCCCTGGCACAGTGCTGGACTCTGATCTTGCCTGACTCAGAAAGGGAGGGCAGGATGTTGGGAAATGTAAATCAGCATTTGGAGTATGAATTCCACTTAGTGCGTGTGTTCACGGAGACACATGGGAACTTTATGGTGCACTCATTCTGAAAGGATCTTTGTTGGGCTTTACCATGAGACTGACAAAGTAATGCTGCCCTTGGGGTCTGTTGAAACTTTCATGGCCCTTGTGTTTGACCTTTAAAAAATAAATCGAGCTGGCTACTCCTGTAGTAAGAACTTTGTCTTGGGGAGGGGAAGAAGCAAAGTGCTTTGTTTTATTTAGCAGGAGCAAGCAAAAAAGATTGGCACCTGACAGGTGCTTCGAGGATGCGGATGTAATTCACATGGTGGAGGGAATGCCTGCTTTGGCTCTCTGCCTCTGTCTCTTCCTTCCTCCTTTTATTCAGCCGGTATTTATGAAGCCCTTGATAGTACCAGGACCTTGTCCACGGCCACACAGCCAGGAAACAGCAGAGCTGGGCTTTGGTCCAGGACTAACACTATTGAATTTACTGTTCCAACTATATATATATATATATATATATATATATATATATATCCTTCCATTCGTCTGTCTGTCTATCTCTCTCTCTCTCTCTCTATCTCCATCCATCCATCCATCCATCTGTGCATCCATCTATTTATCAGCTTCCATCCATCCATCCCCATCCATCCATCCATCCATGCATGCATCTATCTATCTATCTATCTATCCATCCATCCATCCATCCATCCATCCATCCATCCATCCATGCATCTATCTATCTATCCATCCATCCATCCATCCATCCATGCATGCATCCATCTATCTATCCATCCATCCATCCATGCATCTATCTATCCATCCATCCATCCATCCATCCATCCATCTGTGCATCCATCCATCCATCCATGCATCTATCCATCCATCCATCCATGCATCTATCTATCTATCCATCCATCCCATCCATCTGCATCCATCTGTGCATCCATCCATCCATCCATGCATCTATCCATCCATCCATCCATCCATGCATCATCTATCTATCCATCCATCCATCCATCCATCCATCCATCTATGCATCCATCCATCCATCTATGCATCCATCCATCCATCTATGCATCCATCCATCCATCCATCCATCCATCATCCATGCGCGTCTATCTATCCATCCGTCCATCCATCCATCATCCCATCCATCCATCCATCCATCGGATCTATTATCTATCATTATCCTATCTATCTATCTATCTATCTATCTATCTATCTATCTATCTATCCATCCATCCATCCATCCATCCATCCATCCATCCATCTATGCATCCATCTATCCATCCATCCATCCATCCATCCATGCATCTATCTATCCATCCGTCCATCCATCCATCCATCCATCCATCCATCCATCCATGGATCTATCTATCATTATCTATCTATCTATCTATCTATCCATCCATCCATCCATCCATCCATGGATCTATCATTATCTATCTATCTATCTATCTATCCATCCATCCATCCATCCATCCATCCATCCATCTATGCATCCATCTATCCATCCATCCATCCATCCATCCGGCCATCTATGTCATCATCAATCAATCCATCATCCATCCATCCATCCATCCATCCATCCATCCATCCATGGATCTATCTATCCTTATCTATCTATCTATCTATCTATCTATCTATCTATCTATCTATCCATCCATCCATCCATCTGTGCATCCATCCATCCATCCAAGACAGGGTTTTTCTGTGCCAGGCACAGATCAGAAATGAGCAAGGCTTATGTGCAGCATGGAGTCCCAGATTGCATCCTGGCAATACCATCATCACTGCCATTTAGGAGACTCGCTTCTTTTCTTAATTCCTAATGTGTCCATCATTTCATGAGCACCTATTGCTGTGCTTGGGCTTCATGTCTGTGTCAACAACAACTATAAAAAACCCAGGATACCTCCATCATTTGCTAGCTCGCAACTTAGAGATTGAATTATTTAACTATCAGGGCTCAGTTTCCTCATCTAGTGAGATAATAATTTTAGCTCCCTCATAGGATTTATTGAGAATTAATGACTTAGACACACAGTGTTTATAGTACCTGGTGTAAAGTAAATGCTTTGTAAGTATTAACTGTTATTAACTCTGTTTGCCAGTGAGGAAATGGGAGTTCAGAAAGGTTAAGTAGGCAGTCCATGGCCACATATCTATCTATCTATCTATCTATCTATCTATCTATCTATCTATCCATCCATCCATCCATCCATCCATCCATCCATCCATCCAAGACAGGGTTTTACTCTGTGCCAGGCACAGATCCCAGAAAATGAGCAAGGCTTATGTGCAGCATGGAGTCCCAGGTGCATCCTGGCAATACCATCATCACTGCCCATTTAGGAGACTCCTTCTTTTCTTCCTAATAATGTCCATCATTTCATGAGCACCTATTGTGTGCTGTATGCTTGGGGCTTCATGTCTGTGCTCAACAACAACCTTATAAGGAGGCAGGATACCTCCATCATTTGCTAGCTCTGCAACTTGGGGTGAATTATTTAATCTATCAGGGCCTCAGTTTCCTCATCTAGAAAATGAGATAATAATTTTAGCTCCCTCATAGGATTATTGTGAGAATTAAATGACTTAGACACACACAGTGTTTATAATAGTACCTGGTGTAAAGTAAATGCTTTGTAAGTATTAACTGTTATTAACTCTGTTTGCCAGTGAGGAAATGGGAGTTCAGAAAGGTTAAGTAGGCAGTCCATGGCCACACAGCCCTTCTCGGGTCTTCTTTTGGGTCTCAGCTCCAGGACCTCCTCCTCCCTGGATCCCTTGTCACTCAGGACTATGCAGATCCCCTCTTCCTGGCCATTGTCACTCTTACTGTTAGCATCCTCCCTGTGTTGTTACTTGGTGTCCTTGAGAGCCTCAGTGTCTTGCATAACTGTCTTGTTTTCCCTTTGGTGTACTGTTAGCCTTCCTCAGGATTGGAAGGTTTGGGCCGGGCATTGTGGCTCACACTTATAATCCCAGTACTTTGGGAGGCTAAGGTGGGAGGATCACTTGGGCCCAGGAGTTTGAGACCAGGCTAGGCAACATTGTGAGACTCTGTCTCTACAAAAAATGAAATCAGCGGGGTGTGGTGGTACATGCCCACAGTCCTAGGAGGCCGAGGCAGGAGGATCGCTTGAGCCTAGGAGTTCAAGGCTGCAGTGAGTTGTGATGGCGCCATTGTACTCCAGCCTGGGTGACAGAGCGAGACCCTGCCTCAGAAAAATAAAAAATAAATAAAATAAAATAAAATAAAATAAAATAAAATAAAATAACAAAAATAAATAAAATAAAATTAAAAAAAAGATTGGAAGGTTTGTAAAGGCAGGCAAGTCCCGGCCTTGTAGAGTATAGCACATTGCTAGGACACATGAGAAGTTCCAAGTTCCTACAAATATTTATTTGTGGCTAATATGGCACAGTAAAAACACGATGATTTAAATTCACTGTCATCCTCACTGTGATATTATCAGCTGATATGTGTTAAGTGTTCAATTCTTTCAATTATTCTACATGGATTAACTAATTTCATCCTTTTTATACCCCTCTGAGGTAAAGGCATTATTATCTCCATTTAGGGGTATGAAGATGGAGACAGAGAGATGTTTAGTAATTTGCCCAAGGTTATATGGGCAGTGAGAGATAGAGTTAGGAATTGAACTGTTGGTAATGTGGATTTCTAAAAGGAAGAAACCCACATCAAATCCAAATCCACATCCAAATCTCCTTACTACAGATCTAGGCAAAACAAAATCTAATTATTCCTCAATTTTCATAGTAGAGGCATTCCTGGAAAACTCAGTGTGTATTAAACTCATGCAAACAATCACTTTAAGTGTCTGGGCATGGTGGCTCATGTCTGTAATCCCAGCACTTTGGGAGGCTGAGGTGGGAGAATTGCTTGAACCTAGGAGTTTGAGACCAGCCTGGGCAACATAGCGAGACCCCATCTCTACAAAAAATTTAAAAATTAGCTGAGTGTGGTGGCATGCATGTGTGGTCCCAGCTGCTTGGGAGGCTGAGGCAGGAAGATCTGAGCCCAGGAGGTCGAGGAGCTGTGATCGTACCACTGCACTCCAACCTAGGTGACAGAGCGAGACTAGGTTTCCCCCCCCAAAAAAATCACTTTAGGTATAAATGTAAACTGGAGTTATGTTTGCTGACCAGATAATTCTAAGTAGATTTTTTTTTATCTGTATGTATGCTCAGTGGGACATTTGGAGTTCAGGCAACCCAGGGGACAGTCTTGAATGTGCAGAATTGTTTCTAATAGGACATGTCTTTCAGTGGAAGGCATGGGTTTAGTACGCCTGGCCCTCCTCCACTAACTGCCGGCATTGTCCATCCAATCCCTGTGACAACCAAAGGGTCCTGTTTGCATTTCCAGAATCTCCCTTACAGGGTGTTGCCCCTTTTGAGAACTATTATTCTTGATCAGGCTCTCTTCCTTTTTTTTTTTTTTTTTTTTTTTGAGACAGAGTCTTGCTCTGTTGCCCAGGCTGGAGTGCAGTGGCACAATCTCAGCTCACTGCAAGCTCCACCTCCTGGATTACGCCATTCTCCTGCCTCAGCCTCCCGAGTAGCTGGGACTACAGGCGCCCGCCACCTCGCCCGGCTAGTTTTTTGTATTTTTTTAGTAGAGACGGGGTTTCACCGGGTTAGCCAGGATGGTCTCAATCTCTTGACCTCGTGATCCGCCCGTCTCAGCCTCCCAAAATACTGGGATTACAGGCTTGAGCCACCGCGCCCGGCCGATCAGGCTCTCTTCTAACTGCGTCTGAAAGTCCTCTTGTGCTCACTTCCCCAAACCAGCATTTGAGGTCCCCTTGTCCCTTCTCTTCTCCCCTACCTGTTTAGCATCCACTTTTCCAGCTGAATGTGTGGCATCCGTTGGTTTGGGTGGGAGAGCAGGAAGCTGATTCCCAGAGACCCTCCTGAGGACCAGGTGCTGTGTTAGATACTTTAAAGTAGGTGCTTTCTAGATGGAGCGAGTGCTTCACTTACACAACAGATTTAATGTGTCAGCTCAAACAGATCAAACTCATCTCATCTCCCATCTTCCACAAATATCTTATGCACCTTGACAGAGTCCCAGGCCCTACGTTAAGTACATCACACACAATCTCAGTGAAATCTCACTCTATTCCTAGGAGGCTGAGACATTCTTTTATTCTACAACTGAAGAAAATAAGGTTCAGGGAAGGGACATGCCTTGTCCAGGGTCATATAGCCAGGAAGCAGCAGAGCTGGGCTTTATGCCAGGGCCATCTGACACTATTGAATTTACTGTTCCAACTATCCCCCATCTCATTTTATTTTTCTTTCCTTATTTTTAAGAGATAGAGTCTCACTCTGTCACCTAGGCTGGAGTGCAGTGGCACAATCATAGCTTACTATAACCTCACACTCCTGGGCTCAAGTGATCCTCTCGCCTCACTCTCCCAAGTAGTTGGGACTACAGGTGGACTACCGCACCTAGCAAATTTTTTTTTTTTTTTGAGATGGAGTCTCGCTCTGTTGCCCAGGCTGGAGTGCAGTGGCATGATCTCTGCTCACTGTACCTCCGCCTCCTGGGTTCAAGCAATTCTGCTGCCTCAGCCTCCCGAGTAGCTGGGACTTCAGGCGTGCATCACCACGCCCAGCTCATTTTTGTATTATTAGTAGAGACGGGGTTTCACCATGTTGGCCAGGCTGGTCTCGAACTGCTGACCTTGTGATCCACCTGCCTCGGCCTCCCAAAGTGCTGAGATTACAGGCGTGAACCACTGCGCCTGGCCCCACCTAGTTAATTTTTAAACAATTTTTTATAGAGACGGCATCTCGCTACATTGTCCAGGCTGGCCCCAAACCCCTGGTTTCAAGAAATTCTCCTGCCTTAGTCTCTCAAAACACTGGGATCACAGGCATGAGTCACTGCACCTGCCTCCACCCCAGCCCATTTAATAGGGGAGGAAATGGGACAGTCCTGAGGGTGGGGATTGTCCCTTGGCATCTAGGGGTGGGATGGTGTGTTTCTACTGCCCAGAGCCCGGGAGCTCCCCAGTAGCGTGGAGGTCTGGTGATGGGCCTGGCATTTGTCTTACAGGCCAACACCAATACGGATCTGAGGCTGGCAGCTGCCAATGGAGCCCTCCTGAGACATCGGGTGCTGCTGGGGGTGACAGACACAGTGGAAGGATGCCAGAGTGTGATTCAGGTGCTGTGTCTCATAGTGACCTCTTCCTGTTGGCCCAGTTTTATGTTGGGCTGATGGAGAGCAGTGGCCTCATGTTCTCCCAACCTGCACAGTGTCTGCAGTAGTCTGCTAATGAGATGGCTGTCGGCAGCCCTTCCTTCCTCCCTGCCCCTGGTGTTTCTTCCTCAAGACACCTTCTCTGTTTTGTAACCAGTGGCCTGGAACCTCCACGTGGCAGGGCTGGAAGGGAAGCACAGATAGCGCCCAAACCTTGCTGCTCACCTGGCACTTATTCAGCAGACAGACGGAGCCTCCTATGTGCTGTGCCCTCGGTTGGACACTGACGACATTGAGGGGCCCATACAAGGTCCCTGTCCTGGCAGAGGATGACAGGCATACAGTGAGATAGTCCACAGTAGCCTCTCTGGCCTTATAGCAAAGGGACAGCCCCCGACAAGGCTGAGAGGCAAGGTACACAGGGTCCCTTTGAAGGGCTGCATGGAGCTCACCATGGCTGGGGCTACACCAGAGTGACACAGCGGGGAGAGATGAGGCCGGAGAGGCAGGTCAGATGCTGAAGGCCTTGTCTGCCTGGATTGGTCATTCTCTTTGCCCCGAAGGTTGTGGGGAGATCTCAAAGTGACTAGTATGGAGTCGCAGGGTGGGTCGGAACACAGTTAGGGCAGATCTCCTGATCCTGGCTGAACTCTCCTGTTCCTCCATCCATGCCTGATCTACCCGGTGGAATTGCAAAACCTCCTCGGCACCACATCTGCATTCTCACCAGTCATTGCCCCTTGCCTGGTGGGAGCCCAGGGGTGGGTGTGCACGGGGGACCTGGGAAGAGGCTTCTCACGCACCTGCCTCGGTTACTCCATGAATGTTTATTGAGAGCCTATTATGTACCAGGCACTGTCCCAGGGATTGAGGCTGCAGCAGAGAACACATGCAGGTCCCTATGTTTATGGAGCCTATCACACCCGAGATGGTGTAGGTACAAGATGATCTTGCCTAACATTGGACTGAAGCAGATGGCATCACAAGATTCTCGGCAGTTCAAGTGTGACATTGTAGACTGGGAGCTCCTGGAATGTGGGGGTCCTTTTTAGCCTTGTTTATCTTCCAATCTCCTTTATCCATTGGTATGCAGAGTGACTTGGCATGTGTTAGATGAATGCGTGGATGGATAGATGACTAAAGAATGGGCCAGGCATGGTGGCTCACGTCTATAATCCCAGCACTTTGGGAGGCTGAGGCGGGTGGATTGCCTGAACTCAGGAGTTTGAAACCAGCCTGCGCAACATGGTGAAACCCTGTCTCTGCTAAAAATACAAAAAAATTAGCAGGGCATGGCAGCATGCGCCTATAGTCCCAGCTACTTCGGAGGCTGAGGCAGGAGAATCACTTGAACCCAGGAGGTGGAGGTTGCAGTGAGCCGAGATCGTGCCACTGCACTCCACACTCCAGCCTGGGCAACAGAGTGAGACTCTGTCTCAAAAAAAAAAAAAAGGGACACATCAGCTGGGCACAGTGGCTCACACCTGTAATCCTAGTACTTTGAGAGGGTGGGGCAGGTGGATTGCTTGAATCTAAGAGTCAACACAAGCCTGGGCAACATGGCAAACTGTTTCTACAAAGAGGACAAAAACTAACTGTGCATAGTGTCGCAAGCCTATAGTCCCAGCCACTTGGGAGGCTGAGGTGGGAGGATCACCTGAGCGCAGGAGGTCAAGGCTACAGTGAGCTGTGATCCCACCACTGCACTTCAGCCTGGGTGCCAGAGTGAGACCCTGTCTCAAAAAAAAAAAAAAAAAAAAAAAAAAAAAGAATAGACACATCTTTTTAGACAACTGGATTCTTTCGGTTTCAAAATAGTGTCTTGGGGTAAGGTGATACACTATCTGGGATGTCCTTCAGATTCCCTGGGAGGTGCAGTGGAGGTGGGGGTGTTGGGGATGGGTACCAAGTGAGGATGAAGATGAAACCAGAGTGGTCATGAGGTGACCTAACAGTTGCAGCAGGAGGATGGGTTGCTGTCATCTACTTCTGTATATGCTTGGAAATTTTCATAGTAAAAAGCTTTAAAGGAATCATTTGAGAAATCCTCCCTTGTGGGTAAGACATTGGGAGACTAGTTGGCAAGAAGGCTGTGACTTTGGGCCTCATGGGTCAGTCATTAAGAGGAAGGAGGTCTGGGAACCAGAGAAGGTGGCCAGTGGGTGGGAGTTTGGGACAAGGGCCACCAGTTTCTCTGAGAATTTCAATTAGGATGTGTAGCAGCCGTGGTCTTGACAGGATGTTGTAACATGAACATGGAGGATTTCGGCCTGGTTAAGTTTAGCCTGGCTGGCCCCTGGGGTGGAAGGGGAGGCACAGATGGGGTATGGACTTCTCACCCTGCTTCTCTCCCCACAAGCACCCAGGTTGATTACCTCAGACCTGGTTGTGGGCTGCAGGTGTCAGCTCTGAAGGGTTTCACTCATTTGCATGTTCACGCCCCGCCCATTGAGGATGAAGGTGGCTTCAGGTGGACAGGTGATGTTCAGGAGGGTTCAGAGTCTGTCTGGGATGCTCAGCAGCTTGTGGGAAATGGAGCCACAGCCATTTTAAACAGGGTTTAACTTTTTCTCCTTTCCTTTCTCTTTCTCTTTCCTTTTCCCTTTCCTTTTTCTTGAGACAGAGTCTTGCTCTGTCACCCAGGATGGAGTGCAGTGGTACAATCTTGGCTTACTGCAACCTCCACCTCCTGGGTTCAAGCGATTCTTGTGCCTCAGGCTCCTGAGTAGCTGGGATTACAGGCGTCCACCACCACACCAGCTATTTTTTTGTATTTTTTGTAGAGAGAGCGATTTCACCATGTTGGCCAGGCTGGTCTTGAACTCCTGGCCTCAAGTGATCTGCCTGCCTCGGCCTCCCACAGTGCTGGGATTACAGGTGTGAGCCACTGCATCTGGCCTAGGGTTTGACCTTTTCTAAACTTGCACACAAAGCCATTTTTCTACCAACCATGCAAGTGAGATGTGGTCGTGGTGTGGAACTCTGGGAGGGAGCCAAATGGCACGTTCCTGCCAGACAGCAGGCTAAATAGGACTGTCTCAGGGAGGGGGAGTTCAGGGTTGGGCTGGCTTTGAGCCACAGTGGTCACTGCTGCTTCTCCCTACAGCTTTGGTTTGTCTACTTCGACCTGGAGAGCTGTGTGCAGTTTTTGTCTGATCATGTTCAAGAAATGAAGACTAGCCAAGAGGTAAGATATCTTCAGTGAAAAAGCAAAACAAACCAAAAGCCAGGAGGCCAAGTTGTATCGATTGCATTATCTTAAGGGTGGGAAAATGTCTAAGAAAAAGTTACTTGGAAGAATACCTACGAGCAATCAGTGCTTGTTTTTGCCTAGGGAATTATGGCTGCTTTTCTGCTTCTTTTTAACTCATAGCTTCTTCCACATTTCCTATGGTGAGCATATATTTCTTTTTTCTTTTTTTTTTTTCGTTTCTGAGACAGAGTTTCACTCAGTTGCCCAGGCTGGAGTGCAGTAGAACGATCTCGGCTCGCTGCAACCTTCGCCCCCTGGGTTCAAGCGATTCTCCTGCCTCAGCCTCCTGAGTAGCTGGAATTACAGGTGCCTGCCATCACACCTGGCTAATTTCTTGTATTTTTAGTAGAGACGGCGTTTCACCATGTTGGCCAGGCTGGTCTTGAATTGACCTCGGGTGATCCATCTGCCTTGGCCTCCCAAAGTGCTGGGATTACAGGTGTGAGCTACCGCGCCCAGCCATATATTTCTTTATAATTATAATATTAATAATAACTTTTGGTGGATCCCAAAGTATCATGCATTGAGGCAACTTTTACGTGTTCACAGTGCCTTTCTACCATTTATTAAGAAAACCAGAGGGATTTTGCTCTGCTTCTGCAGAGGAGGAAACGGTCTCCGGGATGACCTATTACCGGCCTGTGGTCATGGAGCTGGCTGGTGATGCCCAGGTTTGGAGGCCAGGCCTCCTGTCGCTGAAGCCTGGACTCCTTCTCTAGGATCAGCCTTTTCTGAGCCCCGGCTGCAGTGGGTCTTGAAGTCAGAGTTGTAACTTAGCCCTGAATCTGGCTCATTAGTTCCTATGTGGCCTCAGGCAGGGCCTTTGAGTCTCAGTTTATTCATTTGCAACATATGGATAAAGATACCCACATCCCAGGCTGTTTTGAGCAAGTGAGGGCATGAAAGGAAAGACATTTGTTTATTTGTTTGTTTTGAGGCAGAGTCTTGCTCTGTCACCTAGGCTGGAGTGCAATGGCACCATCTTGGTTCACTACAACCTCTGCCTCCCAGGTTCAAGCAATTCTCATGCCTCAGCCTTCCGAGTAGCTGGGTCTACAGGCATGCGCCACCACGCCCAGTTAATTTTTGTATTTTTAGTGGACACGAGGTTTCACAATGTTGGCCAGGCTGGTCTTGAACTCCTAGCCTCAAGTGATCCGCCCGCCTCGGCCTCCCAAAGTGCTGGGATTACAGGTGTGAGCCACTGTGCGTGACCATAAAAGGAAAAATATTTAGAAACTATTAATGACCATCTGTAGGGAATTATGTAATACCACCCATGTGACCAGCTTTTTCTGAGGTCATTGTCTGAGTCTGAGACCTCATCCTCTGCTCTGTCTGCAGCCTGGGGAGGGACTCAGCCTCGCAGATACCACCTGATTTAGGCACTCCTGAGCCCCTTCTCTGTTTCCTTTGCAGTCCTTGCTGAGAAGCAGACTGAGCCAGTTGTGTGTTGTCATGGAAACTGGGGTGAGCCCTGTAACAGCGGAGGGGCCTGAGGACTTGGAGGATGCTCCTCTCCTGCCTGGCAATTCTTGTCCTAACGAGAGGCCACTCGTGCAGACTGAGCTTCATCAGCTCGTTCCTGAGGCTGAGCCGGAGGTAACAGGCACCGGGGATAGTTGGGGCCATCCACCCTCGGGGGAATTGCATATGTGGAGGCTTCCTAGATTCCCCGGGACATAGCTTCTCTCAGTTGGTAGACACTATACAAATCTAGCTCAGAGTTTTTGATCTTTTCATTCTTCACCCTAGCACTTAAAAAAATAGTTAAGCAGGCCGGGCGCGGTGGCTCAAGCCTGTAATCCCAGCACTTTGGGAGGCCGAGACGGGCGGATCACGAGGTCAGGAGATCGAGACCATCCTGGCTAACACGGTGAAACCCCGTCTCTACTAAAAATACAAAAAACTAGCCGGGCGAGGTGGCGGGCGCCTGTAGTCCCAGCTACGTGGGAGGCTGAGGCAGGAGAATGGCGTAAACCCGGGAGGCGGAGCTTGCAGTGAGCTGAGATCCGGCCACTGCAGTCCAGCCCGGGCTACAGAGCAAGACTCCGTCTCAAAAAAAAAAAAAAAAAATAGTTAAGCATTTTATATTTGTTGGTACTTTTTGTTGCATTATTTAATATCTTGGATATTCTTTTTGATGGTTGCATTGGATGGGTAGTTGCATGTTGATAGATTATAACTTACTTAACCATGAACATATTGACAAATATTTGCATCTTAGTCAGTTAATCAATTATTTATTCATCTATCCAACCATTCATTCATCTACTTTAATTGCAGTTAGATAGTTGACTCTTCTTTGCATTTTTTTTGTTTCGTTTTATTTTGAGACAGGGTCTCACTTCTGTCACCCAGGCTGGGGTGCAGTGGTGTGATCACTGCTCACTGTGGCCTCAACTTCCCAGGCTCAAGCAATCCTCCCACCTCAGCCTCCTGAGTAGTTGATACTGTAGGCATGTGCCACCATGCCTGGCTAATTTTTTGTATTTTTATTAGAGTCAGGGTTTTGCCATGTTGCCCAGGCTGGTCTCCAACTCTTGGGCTCAAGAGATCTACCTGCCTCGACCTCCCACTTCTTTGCATTTCTGTTGAATTCCAATTCCTCCCGCCCCAGAGTTCTCTTGGGTCCTGCCATCCACGCTGCCTCTTGGCTATGGCTCAGCACTGGCAGACCAGAAATCTGAAAATGTGGTTTGCAGCTTGTGCTACCTTCTTCTCATCATGAAGACAGACCCACTGTCGGGGAGACAAGCAGTGATGGTGACCTCAGGTGACATTTGAAACTTCAGAAGAGCACTTATATCTTTTTAGCCAAGAGGTTTGGGAATTCAAGGTCCAAACCAGCCCAGACTTTCTTTTTTGTACTGGTGGGGAGTAGGAAGCCTGCAAGTAGCACTATTTAAAAAAGAAAGTGACAGGATGGTGCGGTGGCTCACTTGAACAAAGTGCTGGGATTACAGGCGTGAGCCACCATGCCCGGCCTCTATTAAACTCTTTTATCTTTTTATATACATTTTTAAATTTTAATTTAGAGACAGGATTTTACCGTGTTGCCAAGGCTCGTCTTGAACTCCTGAGCTCAAGTGATCCATCCGCTTCGGCCTCCGAAAGTGTTAGGATCACAGGTGTGAGCCGCCGTGCCCTGCCAAAATATTTAAAAAAAAAAAAAAAAAAAAAAAAGAGAGAAATGATAAATGTATTAACCTCTTCACTTTATCCCTTTTTTTTTTTTTTTTAAAGAGAAGAGATTGATAAGGTTATGTACTTTCTTGTGACATGCATCTGTGAGTTTTTGTGCAATAGCCCATTAAATATGGGTCTTTTAAATGATTATTCTCAGATTCATTCCAACCAATAGTAATACAATTTCCTGTCATGAGTATCAAGTGTGTGTGCACATGTTTTTAAAGTAGCTGCCCTTATAATTTAGTTAGGGAAAATATAATCGATGCCCAAGTCTCAACCTGTGCCAGATGGTCACATTTCAGTAGGAACCCAGTGTCTGTAAAAGATGGAAAGACCGTGATAATGACCTCTTACATTTTTACGGATTTTTCTCATGCATAAAATTCATTAGCATACTCTTCGAGGTATGAATTATTTTCCCTTCTTCCTTGATGGGTGAAATAAGGTTCCAAGAGGTCAGCTGACTTGCCCAAGGTTGCCAGAAAGGGAGAGTGCAGTAAGCCCAGGGCAGAAGCCAGCCCTGCTGATTCTAAGTAGACCAATGTTCTTGCTATGGTTCTTTGCTTCTTATATTATTGATTTTAGAGTAAATTGGCGAGAAGACCGATCTGAGCTGGTGAGTGGTAAACTATTTGAAGTGTTTTATATTTTCTAGCACAAAGGATAACTTGAAACAAAAGCTAATCTTATGAACCATGTGGGGTTTCTGCTTTTTTGAGTGATAATGACAGAAAGATATTGATGCCATTTGTGGAGCACTAGGCACTGGGCTCAATGCTTTCTATTAGTAGTCTCTCCCTTTTTTTTTTTTTTTTTTTTCCGAGAGGGAGTTTTGCTCTTTTGCCCAGGCTAGAGTGAAGCGGTGTGATCTCAGCTCACTGCAAACTCCACCCCCCGGGTTGAAGCGATCCTATTGCTTCCGCCTCCTGAGTAGCTAGGATTACAGACGTCTGCCACGATGGCCGGCTAATTTTTGTATTTTTAGTAGACACGGCATTTTACCATGTTGGCCAGGCTGTTCTCGAACTCTTGACCTCGGGTGATGCACCTGCCTTGGCCTCCCAAAGTGCTGGGATTACATGTGTGAGCCAATGCACCCGGCCTCTATTAGTCTCTTTAATCCTCACTCTAACTTACAGGGGTCAGTGTACTATTTTCCTTATTCTACCAATGAAGAAATGGGCTCAATAATGTGAAGTGACTGCTCTGGGTTAGTCATAGAGTGGCTGGGTTGAAATTCCCTCTTGGCCTTTTTGACTTTAAAGCCTATTCTTAATTACTAACTCTACAGACATACCTAGTGTAACCCACACCTTATTTCATTACATTCAGAGTGGACACAAGTATTGTGAAAGAGCTTCAACACCATGCTTAAGGAATTTAAGCATTTCCCCTGAGATCCCATCTTCTATACCAGTGAATGGATCTTTACAGACCAACTGTGTTAATAAGAATGTGCAGTAAGGCCTAGCACAGTGGCTCACACCTGTAATCCCAACACTGTAGGGAGGCCAAGGCAGGAGCCCAGGAGTTCAAGACCAGCCTGAGCAACATAGTAAGATCCTATGTCTTTTTTTTTTTTGAAACGGAGTTTTGCTCTTTTTGCACAGGCTGGAGTGCAATGGTGCGATCTTGGCTCACTGTAACCTCTGCCTTCTGGGTTCAAGTGATTCTCCTGTTTCAACCTCCCAAGTAGCTGGTATTACAGGCATGTGTCAGCATGCCTGGCTAAATTTTTTTTGTATTTTTAGTAGAGATGGGGTTTCACCATGTTGACCAGGCTGGTCTCGAACTCCTGACCTCAAGTGATCTGCCCGCCTTGGCCTCTCAAAATGCTGGGATTACAGGCATGAGCCACTGTACCCGGCTGTACTGTGTCTTTAAAAAAGAAAAAAAAGTACATTAAATGCAATTTTTAAATTCTTTTTTACTTAAAATTTTTTTATTGTGGCAAATATACATAATATAAAATTTACCATCTTAACCATTTTAAGTATATGGTTCAGCAGCATCAGGTACATTTACATTGTTATGCAACCATCATCATCAGCCATCTGCAGAATATTTTCGTCTTCCCAAATTGAAGCTCTGTGCCCTTTAAACACTAACTTCCCCTTTCCTTCTTCCTCCCTCCCCTCAACCCCTAGAAACCACCATTTTATTTTCTCTCCCTGTGAACTGATTACTCTAGGTGCCTCGTGTTAGTGGAATCATACAGTACTTGTCCTTTTGTGATAAACCCAATTTTGATAATCAATCTCTTTTTTTCCCTTTTTTATGTTTTTCTTTCTTTTTTTTCTTTTACTGTCAGTCATCATATTTAAATGTAAGCAGTTTCTTTTAATATGTTAGGAGTACTTGTGTAAACAAATCTACAAGGTACCTCATATGAATTAAAGAATTCTGCTGTAATGGGAATATTCCTCTCCCTACCTCCACATTTAACTCGTCATTTTCTTCAAGTGAGTCACTTTGATCTCACGTACTTGACAGACTCATAGACATTTGAAAGTGGAAAAAGAATGTATTTGTGGCTGGCTAGGTTTACTTTCTTTTTATGCTTTTAAAATATATTTTTAATTTTAATTTTATTTTTGTAGAGACAGAGTCTTGCTCTGTTGCCCAGGCTGGTCTCAAACTCCTGACCTCAAGTGATCTTCTTACCTCGGCCTCCCAAAGTGCTGGGATTACAGGTGTGAACAACCATGCCCGGCCAACTAGGCTTAAAAAATTAGATAATTAGAAATTAGATAATTTCTCTAGGGCTTCGAGGTTGCGTATTTTTTTGGTGCGTATTATTATTGCCATTCAGTAATTAGTTACCCACCTTGGCAATGAGGACACTGAAGCTGCAGGAGCCCCACAGGCCATGGATTGCAGAGCTGGGCTTCTGGACCAGGCTGACATCTTCTGAGAGTCCCAGGTGCTGACCTGGCCTGGTTCTTCCTAGTGAGCATCACTCCTGGGTCCAGGGGCAAGAAAGCAGTGTGGCCTTCCCCTGGTGCCTAAGCCGTTTTTCTTCAAGGGGCTCCCCTGTGGTATTCAATCTGCTTCCCTGCCTCTCCTAGGAAATGGCCCGCCAGCTGCTGGCAGTGTTTGGCGGCTACTACATCCGGCTTCTAGTGACCTCCCAGCTCCCTCAGGCAATGGGGACACGACACACGAACTCTCCGAGAATTCCATGCCCCTGCCAGCTCATAGAAGCCTACGTCCTGGGCACAGGGTGCTGCCCGTTCCTGGCCAGGTGACCTAGGGATGAAGGTACTCATGTTCCTCCAAGACTGAGCAGTCGGGAAGGCTTCAGGAGCCCAAGATGGCCAATGGGGAGCCCCAGGTGAGGAGAGAAGCATCTAGGGGCACTCCAAAAGGGGCTCGTGATGTCAGCCACTGGGGTGTTGTGCTCACTCCAGGGCCCAGCACACAAATCTCATGCTGTTTGACATCTCATGCTGACCCCCTGGCCTTTGCAGGAGCTGATGGTTACAGAGCTAGTCCCACCAAAGCTACTCTTTCTGCTGCTTAGAACTGTGGACACGTATGGAAGGAATGGACCCCTATCGCTTTCATTGTCCAGAGAGCCCAGGAGGCATGAAGATGACCAGACAGGGCAAATTATGTGTCCAAAACTTGGCCTCAGATGTTTCCATTTCCAACCTCTTCATGCCAGATGGGGAAACTGAGACTCAGAGAGGATACTGCTCTATGTGGCGTTGCCTTGAACCCCTAAAATTATCAGACTGCCTTTTTCCAATATAAAGAAAAAATGTTTTCAGAATTCTCTCAATTTTTTTATGTTTTTCTCCCCCATATTTTGTGAAAAGCAGTGGTACGTGTACATGTTTTCTACCAGTACACAGGCTACAGAAGACACAGAAGAAAGGGATCAAGGGCAGATAACTGTTGACAGGAATATTTGAGAAAGATTGATCCTGTTTGACTTGAGGACTTACTTTGTTCACAGGCATGCACGCTTGTGGCTGTGGTTTTATATTACAGATGTAGAACACTGGTTATGTTTCCCGACACAAACACTGTCCTGGAATGAAGTGTGATCAGCCACTCGTGGGATTCTGTGAAGAGCTCAGAGGCTTCCAAGTGATCTGCTCCCGAAACAAGTTTGAAGACCTATTGTTTCATCGACCCAAGTCCAAATGCCCTGACCTGGCATGTGAAGGATCCCCAGCCCCCAAGACCTAGCCTTCATCTGCGATTTTGGCTTCATCTCCCACAAAACCCCTTTATGGGTTGAAGCTCTTTCCTGGACTGACATACCTATTCCTTTCCATTTGTTGGACTCCTATTCATGCTTCAAAGTCCAGCTTTCTTAAGCCCTTCTTTAGGAAGCCTTCCCACACAGCCAACCCTGCTGCTCTCTGCCTCCTTTAAATTCTTGATAAAGCTGTTGCCTGTTCTGATGTTTTATGGTATTGATTTTGTTTTCCTGTGTATATGCCAGTTTTTCTAACTAGACTGTAAACTCCTTAAGGACAGAGACTACACCTTGTACTTTTTGTGCATGACCTGGACCGCTAAGGAAAAAAAAAATCCAGTAGATTGATTGCTTTGCCATCCTCACAGCAGCTTTTGCAGATTGCTGTCCAAACTCACTTGAATGATGACATTGCTATGGACCTGGGTTCTGGACCTGATCTGCCAGTTCAAGCTGTGTAATTTTTGGCAAGTTGCTTTCTTTGCCTGGTCCTCAGTTTGCCCATCTTTATAATGGGTGGATTGGATGATTTTTTTTTTTTTTTCTTTTTAATTGAGATGGAGTCTTGCACCGTCACCCAGGCTGGAGTGCAGTGACACGATCTTAGCTCACTGCAAACTCTGTCGCCTGGGTTCAAGTGATTCCCATGCCTCAGCCTCCTAAGTAGCTGGGACTACAGGTGTGCACCACTACGCCTGGATACTTTTTTTGTATTTTTAGTAGAGATGGGGTTTTGCCATGTTAACCAGGCGGGTCTTGAACTCCTGACCTCAGGTGATCCGCCCACCTCGGCCTCCCAAAGTGCTGGGATTACAGATGTGAGGCACCACAACCGGCCTGGATGATTTTTAAGGGCCCTTCTAGGTCCGAAGTTCTGGGAATTTCTAGCTTATTCTGCCCCTTCGTAGCTCTTGACCTGTCTATCCAGATGCAGAAACATCTGGCAACCCCACATGGCTGAGATGACCTGGACCTAGGATGCCCTTGGACAGAAGACTGGCCTACCTAGCAGACCTGGAATTTTCTTCCTGATCTGCTGCTTCCAAGTTGTGTGACCTTGGCTAAGTCACTTAACCGTTCTGATTGTCATTTCACTTTTTAATAAAGTGGATCTGGAGAACAAGAAATGTAATAAGCACGTGGCTCACCATTCAAGAGATGAGTCTGACCATTCACTTTCTGTGTGCCAGAGAAGAGAGACCATGGGTATAGACCAGCCCCTGGAAAGGCTGCTTTAGTCAAGGCTGAGAGCAGCTTTGCTCAAGCAAATTATTCACGGAGGTGACCACTGTCTTTCTGACCTGGCACAGAGGAAATGTTGGCTGTGAATATGACCAATAGAAAGAGGCCCGTATTTCTCATTCAGTCCTAGAATCCTGGTAAGTAAACAGAGAATAAAAATGTGTTTGTAAATGACAAAGCAGCAGTTTTTCAATTTTAATGTCTACTTAAGAACCTTTGATGTGTGTTTCTTTTCCCTTCTTTAGAATGGATGATGGTCCCACCTAGTGGGTAGGGCTTTCAGGGTATGCCCACAATGTACATTTCTCTGCATCTGTGCCTCAGTTTCCTCATTTATGAAATCCCTATGATCTCTGTCTCACCTACTTTACAGGATTGCTGTGAAGATCACATATTACACACAAGAATGCTCATCAGTTTTTAAATTTTATTTAATTTTTATTTATTTTTTTTAAATGTCATTTTTTCAGAGAGATAGGGTCTTGTTGCCCAGCCTAGTCTTGAACTCCTGGCCTCAAGTGATCCTCCTGCCTTGGCCTCCCATGGTGCTGGGATTACAGGTGTGAACTACCATGCCCAGCCAGCTTCTAAGTCTTAAGGCTCTGTGTTAGTGATAGTTGTGGCCATCGTGGAGGCAGTGCGATGTCTTCAAGTGAGAGTGAAGCATGGATTCTAGAGTTCCATTTATTCTAATTCAAGTTCTTCCACTTAAGAACAATGTTCTTCCTCTCATTGAATCTCATTCCTCATCTATAGGATGGGGATAAGAGCATGTACTTGGCAGGTTGTTGTAGTAAGGATTAAATAATGATGTAAAAAAGTGTCAAGTGCTTGCAACTTTGAATTCCAAACTTGAGTGAAAACTCAATAAATTGTTGCTTAAAAAAATTTTTGTCATGTATATTGTAGATACCTGATGTATATTTTTGTTGATGTAGCAGGTCATTAACAGTTAAGTCTATTCAGTCTGCCTCAGACCTCACCTATTTCAGTGCCATGGGGTATACTTATGTCAATAAAGATTTTAGTCAAATCTCTGGAATTCAGCATCCAGAGATAACATAACAAGGAGATAAAGAGCAAACCGTTGATTTTGGGCCAGATACTCACTCTTTCTGTACTTCCTGTACCTAATTTCCTCATCTGTTAAGGGGGGAGTGTGATAATAAGGGGGGTTAATGGAAGTGATTGATGTGAAGCACAGAGCCTGGTCCACAGTAAGGGCTCAGTCAGTGGGGGACGTTTCTTCTGCAGCTGCTGGCTGCTGTTAGCTTCTAGTTTATGTTATCCTATGTTATCTTATAGTTGAGTGTTTTTACATTTAGGTCTGTAATTTATTTTGAGTTAGTTTTTCTGAAGGATGTAAGGTCTCTATCTGGATTAATTTTTTGCATATTGTTCCAGCACCGTTTGTTGAAAAGACTCTCTTTGCTCCATTGTATTGCCTTTGCTTTTTTTTTTTTTTTCCAAGGATCAGTTGACTATACTTATGTGGGTCTATTTCTGGGCTCTCTATTTGTTCCATTGATCTATGTGTCTGTTCTTTCCCAAAAACACACTGTCTTGATTACTGTAGCTTTATAGTAAGTCTTGAAATTGGATAGTGTGAGTCCTCCAACTTTGTTCTTCTCTCTCAATGTTGATTTGGCTATTGTGTTCTTATGCCTTTCCATGTAAACTTTAGAATCAGTTTGTCAATATCCACAAAACAACTCACTGTTTATTTTGATTGGGATGGCATCAAATCCATAGATCAAGTTGCAAGAACTGACATTTTCACCATATTGATTTCTGTCTACAAACATAGAATCTATCTTCATTTATTTAGCTGTTCTTTGATTTCTTTTATCAGTTTTGTAGAGGTTTTTCCTTTTTCCTACAGTTTTTTTTTTTTTTTTTTTTGTTTTTTTTTTTTTATATCTTGTACATATTTTGTTAGATTTATAAGATTTATACCTAAATATCTTATTTTTTTGGGTGCTAATAAAAATAGTATTGTATATTTAGTTTCAAATTTCATTTGTTCATTGCTAATATATGGGAAAGTGATTGACTTTTATCTATTCACATTGTATCCTGCAACCTTGCTATAATCTCTTATTAGTTTTAGGAGTTTCTTTGTTGATTCTTTTGTTGATGAGATAATCATCTCGGAACCTGTAAGCAAAGACAGTTTATTTCTTCCTTCCTCATCTGTATATCTGCATACTTTTCATTTCCTTTTCTTGTCCTATTTCATTGGCTTGGACTTCCAGTATGATGTTGAAGAGTAGTGGTAAGAGGGAACATTCTTGCCTTGTTTATGATTGTAGTGGGAGTTTCTAGTGTCTCACTATTTTTTTTTTTTTTTGAGACAGAGTCTTGCTCTGTTGCCCAGGCTGGAGTACAGTGGTGTGATCTCAGCTCACTGGAACCTCCATCTCCCGGGTTCAAGCAATTTTCCTGCCTCAGCCTCCCGAGTAGCTGGGATTATAGATCTGCACCACCATACCCGACTAATTTTTATACTTTTTTTTTTTCTTTGGTAGAGATGGGGTTTCTTCACATTGGCCAGCTTCATCTCAAACTCCTGACCTCAGGTGATCTGCCCTCCTTGGGCTCCCAAAGTGCTGGGATTACTGGCGTGAGCCACCATGCCTGGCCTTCACTATTAAATATAATGTTAGCTCTGGACTTTTTGGTAGGTTTTTTTGTTTTGTTTTGTTTTGTTTTTGAGACAGAGTCTTGCTCAATCACCAGGCTGGAGTGCAGTGGCCCGATCTCGCCTCACTGCAACCTCTACTTCCTGGGTTCAAGCAATTCTTCTGCCTCAGCCTCCCAGTAGCTAGGACTACAGGCGTGTGCCACCACACCCAGCTAGTTGTTTTTTGTTTTTAGTAGAGATCAGGTTTCACCATGTTGGCCAGGCTGGTCTTGATCACTTGACCCTGTGATCTGCCTGCCTCGGCCTCCCAAAGTGCTGGGGATTACAGGCATGAGCCACCATGCCCAGCCCTAGTAGTTTTTTTGTTTTGTTTTGTTTTGTTTTGAGACAGGGTCTCACTCTGTCACCCAGGCTGGAGGCTGGAGTGCAGTAGCACGATCACAGCTTACTGCAGTCTTGATCTCTGGCGCTCAAGCAATCCTCCTGAGTAGCTGGGTCTGTACCATACCTGGCCAGTTGTTTTTTTGTTTTTTGAAATGGATCTCACTCTGTCACCCAGGTTGGAGTGGAGTGGTGGGATCTTGGCTCACTGCAACCTCTGCCTCTCAGGCTCAAGTGATCCTCTTACCTCAGCCTCCTGAGTAGCTAGGACCACAGGCATGCATTGCATGCCTGGCTAATTTTAGTATTTTTGGTAGAGACAGGGTTCTGTCATGTTAGTGTTGCTCAGTTTGGTCTTGAACTCCTTAGTTCAGGTGATCCACCCACCTTGGCCTCCCAAAGTGCTGAGATTACAGGCGTGAGCCATCGTGCCTGGCCTGGGCCACCACACCCAGCCATAATTTTTTAGTTTTTTGTAGAGATAAAGTATCATTTTGTTGCCTAGGCTGGTCTTGAACTCCTGGAGTTGATCCTCCCACCTCAGCCTTCCAGAGTGTTGAGATTTCAGGCCTGAGCCACCATGCCCAAATGAGATATTCTTTAATAAGTTGAGAAAGTTTCCTCTCTATTCCTTGCTTACTGAGAGGAAATTAGCTTTCTTTTGAATAGTCATTGCATAGTATATCTTTGTTCATCCTTTTACTTTTGACCTCCACATTCTTACATTTAAGGTTTCACCCTTGTAGGCATGTAAGATTTGCTTTTTTGAAATTAAGATTTTTTAAAATTCAGAGTATTTACTACACTATGTCTAATGTGTTTATTGATAGACTTGGGTTTGAATGTACCATCTTACTAATAAGTCTTTCTATTGGTTTTCTCTTACTGTGTTTTTTTCTTTTTTCTGTCTTTTTTCCTTCTTTTGGATTAAGGTTGTTTGTTCTGGGTAATTTCTCCTTTATTAGCATATGAAGTATACTTTTCTTTTAGTTCTTATCCTAGATTTAACAAGCATCCTTGACTAACTGAAGTGTATTATAAGTGGTCACTTCTACAATTTTCTGGACAACCCAGCAACTACACAATTCTTTTTTTTTTTTTTTTTTTTTTTTTTGAGACGGAGTTTCCCTCTGTGGCTCAGGCTAGAGTGCAGTGGCACAATCTTGGCTCACTGCAACCTCCTGCCTGCCAGCTTCAAGCGATTCTCTCGCCTCAGCCTCCTGAGTAGCTGGAATTACAAGTGTGCACCACCACACCCTGACAATTTTTGTATTTTTAGTAGAGACAGAGTTTCACCATATTGTCCAGGCTGGTCTCAATCTCCTGATCTCAAGTGATCCACCTGCCTCAGCCTCCCAAAGTGCTGGGACTGCAGGTGAGAGCTACTGGGCCTGGCCCCAACAACTATACAGTTCTTTCACCTTTCTACCTGTTGTGGTAGTCTTGTCATGGATTTCAGTTTTCTCTGTATTTTAAGCCACAACAGATATTCTTATTAATGCTTTCTATAGTCAATATTCATTTAGATTTATTCACATTACTTTTTATTACTCTTTATTTGTTATTTCTTTTTTATTACCCTTCGTTCCTTTCTGTATTTATGTGCATCTATTTTGGATCCTTCTTCTCCTGGAACTAACTTTAGAATTTTTCTTCAATATAGTATCATATTTAGTATAGTATATTTAGAAATACCTTTAGTGTTTTCCTTTCAGTACGGATCTTGTGATGAATTCAATTTTTGTTTGCTGAGAAGTCTGTATTTTGTTTTTGTTTTTGGAAGATATTTTTGGTAAGTAAGGAATTCTAGGTTAGTGCAGTTATTTTCTTTTCACCTTTTGAAAATGTCTTTGGTTTCTATTGTTTCTGTTGAGAAGTCATCTGTCAGCCCCATTGTTGCTTTTAACATTTTCTATGAGTTTTAGCAGTTACATTCTGATGTGCCTAGCTGTAGCTTTTAAAGTATTTTTCCTGCTTGTGCTTGTTCACAGCACATCTTGAATCTGTGACATGATATCTTTCATCATGGCATTCACCCTCTTCTCTCATCTTGTTCAGGACTCTAATGATAAGTGTTAGACTTTTTCACTATATCTCTAAGACCCTTCTTGGTATTTTTCCATTCTTTTGGCTCTTTGTGATTCAGTCTGGATATTTTCTACTGACTAGTCTTCTCCGTTAATCTTGTCTTCATTTGTGTTTAATCCTATCAATTGAGTTTTTTTGTTAACCCTATGTTTCATTTAAAAGTCAATCCAGTTTCTAACTTTTTTTTTTTTTTTAAGAGGTAGGGTCTTGCTCTGTTGCCCAGGCTGGAGTGGGCACAATCACAGGTCACTGCAGCCTTAAACTCCTGGGACCTAAGACTCCCAAGTAGCTAGGACGACAGGCAGGTGCCACCATGCCTGGCCAATTTTTAAATTTTTTGTAGAGACGGGGTTTTGCTGTGTTGCCCAGGCGGATCTCGAACTTCTGGCCTCAAGTAATCCTCCTGCCTCTGCCTCCTAAAGCACTGGGATTACAGGTGTGAGCCACCATGCCCAGCCTGAGTTTTTAATTTCATCTATCATAACGTTCAGTTCTACAATTTTGTTTTTTAAAAAATAGTTTCCAGTTCTCAAATGAAATTACCAATCTTGTCATCTATTCTCCTCAATATTTAATTGTACTGCTTTTTTTTTTTTTTTTTGAGACAAAGTCTCGCTCTATCACCCAGGCTGGAGTGCAGTGGCGCAATCTTAGCTCACTGCAAGCTCCGCCTCCCGGGTTTACGCCATTCTCCTGCCTCAGCCTCCCGAGTAGCTGGGATTACAGGTGCCCGCCACCACACCTGGCTAATTTTTTTTTTGCATTTTTAGTAGAG